TCTCAGAAGTTAAAGAGGGTTGGCCCTTACTAATGTCTGGATGGGAGAACACCAAAGAAGCCAGGGGTTGCCACACAGAGGAAGGTGACGACAAACCACCTTTGAATGTCTCTTGCCTTGGAAACCCTGTGGGATCTCCATAAGTCGGCTATGACTTAACAGCAAAAAAAAAATATTGGTACATGAACCTACCTTACAAGGTTGCTATAAGGCCAGTCACAGACACGCACGTGGCCTGTTTAGGAAAAAATGCTATGCAAGTCCTACTACAATTGGACTTCTGAGCAAACTTAATTATTTCCCGTTTTTCTGACACACGTGGCAATTAAAAAATAAAGTGGAGTGCAGTGCCGTGTGCAGAGGAAATAAAACAGTGGGTTTTCCCCTGAGACATAAAGACTGAAAGACCAGGGATGGCAAACAAGGGAAGGTGAATGGGGGGGGGGCACAGTGGAGGAAGTAGAGGGGAATGGGTAGCTGAATTGGCTAACAGGCATTTACATCCCTGTGGCTCAGAGGGTAAGACGCTGAATTGCAGACCGGAAGGTTGGTAGCTTGGCAGTTCAAAACCCTAGCGCTGCATGACGGAGTGAGCTCCTGCCTCTGGCCCCAGCTCCTGCCAACCAAACGGTTCGAAAGCAAGAAATTGCAAGTAGATGAATAGGTGGGAAGGTAACAGCGTTCCGTGCACCTTGGCGTTTAGTCATGCCGGCCACATGACCACGGAAACATCTTCAGACAGCGCTGGCTCTTCGGCTTGGAAACGGAGATGAGCACTGCTCCCTAGAGTCGGATCTGACCAGCTTTTGAGCAAGGGAAACCTTTACCTTACGTGTAGTGCATCTTAATGCCACTCTTTCTCCAAGTCATTTAGGACACCATACATGGTTCTCCGGCCTCCATTTTCTCTTCACAGCAATTCTGTGAGGTAGGCGAGGGAGACAGAGATGGCCTCAAGGTCACTAAGCAAGCTTCATGGCAGAGCAGGGGATCTGAACCCGGGTGGTCTCCCAGATCCTTGTAGATCACTGTCACAGAAGCCCTTGCTGGGTGACTTTGGGCCAGTCGCTCCCTCAGCCGAACGTTCCTCACAGGTCAGTGAGGATAAAATGGAGGGGGGGGGGAACCAGGTTGTCAGCTGCCGTACGTCCCCTTTGTGGGGGGGGAAAGCAGGTTGTAAATCTCTGAAGAAATTAACTGTTAAGTATGCAACTCAACAACGAAGTAAGTAACAAAGTGAATCAGCTTTTATTGAGAACGAGAACTTCCAAAGATCACACAGCATCAAAGGACACGACAACACACAAAACAACATAGCTCCTTTTAAACTCTCCCGGGCTGGTGTAGCCACACCCTCACATAGTTAAGGTCCAATCGTATTACAGAGATAACAACCAATAAACACAGTTCCCTCCAGCACAGTTCTCTTACATTTGATTGGTTACTGAACATGCTTCAGCCAATAGTGTTGTTCCAGATTAGAATCCGGCTGAGGTTTCAAGCTTTACATGATAAATCAATGGTAAAGACACAACAATTCCTCCCCCCTAAGATGGAACAATACCCAGACATATGTAGTCCTTCAGATAGGGAGGGGCACGCCTTGTTCGACCTGACCTGCGAATAGGTTCGGTTGGTGTAACCACTGCAGGGGCCCTGGGTAGCTCACTGTCCAGTGAGTCTGGCTGGCTGATGTCTGAGTGGTCACTGTCTTGAGTGGGAATTAGTCCACACTCAGGTTCTATGGGGGGCTCTGCAACACTCACCTCCTCGACTGGAGGCCCTCACTGCTCGCCTTCTGGGTGAGGGATTCAGTCAGGTTCGGTGCAGGACTCGGGACTGGAGTCAGCCCACCTCTGCCTGAGCTGATCTACGTGGCGTCGGAGTTTCCTGCCATCTGCAAGCTGCGCCACGTACATACGGGTACCCAGAACGTCTGAGATTATGGCGGGAACCCATAAGTGACCCTCAGCATAGTTCCACGCGAAAACCTTGTCTCCCTGTTTGAAAGTGTGCGGGCTTTCCAGGACCGCTGTTTTGGGGGGGTCTAGTTTCTGTCAGGTCCGGATGGAGCCTGTCCAGAAGCGTAGTGAGTCTACGACCCATCAGGAGTTCAGCTGGGCTCCTACCAGTGGCAGTACAGAGCGTGATATGCTGCCTAAGGAGGAATGAGGCTAACTTCTGCCCCCAGTCCCTGAGACCCAACTTTTTAAAAGCCTCCTTAGTTGTCCGAACCATCCGTTCAGCTTGCCCGTTTGTGGCCGGATGGAACGTAGTGGACGTTACATGTTTAACCACATTATCTGACAGAAATTTTTCAAATTCCCCTGAGGTGAATTGGGGCCCGTTGTCCGATACCAGGACGTCTGGCAAACCATGGGTTGCAAAAACCCGATGCAGCACATTTATCACAGCCATAGATGTACGCATATTAATTACTTTGAGCCATTTTGAGAAGGCATCAA